CCAGCCATTCTGGCTGGGGAATTCTGGGAGCTGAAGTCCACACATCTTAACCTTGCTAAGATTGAGAAACACTGGTTTAGAACATTTATATGGCTGCCCAACTCAACATGACTCTGGGCAGCAATCAAAGTAATTAAACAGAAATAGATAAGAGAAATAACCAACACTACTAAGGCAAACTAAAACAATTAAATGATTATCAGGATATATATATCCATATCCATATCCATAAATTTGGCTGCCCTTGCAAGTCACAGAATGATTTATCTGATTTTGGCAACCTCCACCAGCCCACTTCTGGCATTTGAGCAAACACAGGAGGATTTAAGCTGCCAAGATGGAGAATTTCGGGCAAGTTGACCATTTCAGAACATCCTACATTCCTTGCAAAGGCTTCAGGTGGCTTCTTAAGAAGCCACCCTGAGCACCTTGGAAGAAAGGTAGGATTAAACTAAATTTATGATATTTTTCCACTTTCTGGTTTGCTTCACAGGATTCTTTAGCCTGCTGATACACCTCATGTCCTTGGCATCTAGAGTTGAACAGCACATGAACCCAATCCTTCTAGAAGAGAATACAGGCCAATGCATGGCTGGAGAGCAGGCTGTGGTGGGGTTGCCAGCTGTCCCACACCATGAAATCCTTCTCCTACAGGAAAACCCTTCTCTCCCACTCAATTCAACCATCATCTAAATTCTTTAACTGAAGATTTACTGGACCAGGAGGATAGAAGAGCACAGCTGGCATCGCTCTGTTTTAATGTACATATCCCTACCACCTGTTGAAAAGCAATCTTTTTTCTTTTCCAAATCCGTTTTCCTTTTCCCTATAAATAGAACCGGCGCAACCAGATAAATATAGAGGATTATTCTGCATTTCAGAAAGTTGAAGGGAGAAAGACAGAATAATTGCTCTTCACATGGGGCATGTTCAGTTTGCAACTGTCTATGGCAAGCAGGTTTTACATGTTTTCATTTTGGTTCAGAAACCTGTATGAACACAAGAATTCAAAAATGGAAGAAATGAAAGAAGCCTTTCTTCCCTATAGACACTTCTATTCTACTATAATCATCATCTGAAACTAGTTTCAGCCACTGTGTTGAAGCATCCTGAGCTGGTTGCACTCTGAGCAAACTTGGGCTGCCACTGCTCACAAGCAAACACAAATGTATGTATGCAGTGGCTGATCATCTATTTCTCCGTGTTGACCCCACTGTGTCACTCTTTTAGCAATAATGGAATAAGGAGGGTGAACTAAAAGGGCAAGCCCATCTCTTCATGGCCATTATATTAGAAAGGGCAATGGGAAAGACCTTAGCAATCAACTTGTGACCCCTTTCCAAGGGCCATGAAACAGACAATAATCCTGTTTGATTTTCACTCCTAAAAGCTATGGACGCTCTTCCAGAAGGGAAACAAGTCTTTGAGGCTGAGGGTATAGAGGCCAGAATGACCAACTTTCAAAAACTGACTCTGCTTCTTTGCCTTTCAAGAACCTTGAGAAAAGCAAGTAGCCAAGTTGTTCCTTCCTTCACATTGGCCAGGGTCTCAAGAGCCAATTGATGCAAAGAGATGGTTCCAGTTTAAAAGACAGACAGGTATTCAAACAAGTGCCCTGAATGAGAATAAAGTTTCCTACCCAGAAGCCACAAACACCTCATTATCTCAGAAGCAAAGTGTGAAGAACAATACTAGACCTGAATAGAAAGATGTGTGAATCAAATTCAGAAAATGAGGGAAAGGAAGTGGGTAGGTGAAGCTCAAAGAGATATAGTTGAGCTTTAATATAGTTGAGACAAGCTTCCAGACAGGACCATACCTCAGCTTTCCTAACTCTTCAACCTTTACAGCTACAGTATTTGGGGGGGCTCTTTCCTCCTCTCAAATCTTCTTCCTTCAGCCTTTATTCTCCCTCAGGTTCTCCAGGTCATCACCATCCCAGAAGAGAACTCTACAAGAAGATTCAGGTAAGGATGGCAATACCCCTAGTTTTCTCTCACCTTTTCAGAGGAGGAAAAGAAAAAGGCTTGGGCACAAGGGACAATCTAAAGGTTAAAAACAGTTTTGGGGGCTGACTGACAAACATTTCTGCCCAATTCTAATGCATTCACCTCAACCATAAGGGGCAAACAGCAGTCAGGAGAAGCTTCTCCCTTCAACAGTACTGCAGCTCTAAGGAGACTAATATTAACCGTGAGATTTTTTTCAGTGGTTTTATTTTATACCTATGGAGGGTGTGCTGCCACTTGGAACTAGGGACTTACTCTGGCCCCTGGGTGCTGCCGTGCAGACCCCAGGATAAAGCTGCATGAAACCAAACTTCCATTGAGTCTTCATTTAAATTCCTTACCAAAGAGGAAATCAACTTCTCTCTAGGGATTCTTCAAGTTAGCATTTCTTATACTGAGCTTCAGATACAGTTTCTATCACTCATTAGCTCTGCATGTCTATCGGCTGAGGCTTAATAGAATGACTTGTATCTGTGGAAGAAAAGACCTGGTTCTTAAGCAGAGCTGGTGCAACCGTCCTTCTTCCTGTTTCTTCCATTTTCTCCCTGGGAGCACACAATACCAGTCGATAAAGTAGCACAAGAAGTCTTTTGAAACACTCACACCAACGATCACATCCAGGTTCTTGTTCTGCTTCCTTGGCTCGCCTTGCAGAGAAATAATGAGCTGAAATAATGAAAATCCACAGCAAGACGAGTTTCTCCAATTCCAAAATTAACGAGAACAGAAGCAAAGGATGGGGTTTGCTTATTTAACTTTGCCTTCTTTAAACTGGGGCTTCTGGTTGTGTTAGATTGCAAGTCCCATCCTTCACAGCCCGCATGACCATAAACTGGCCTGGTGGTAGACTTTCAATTAAAAAGAAACAGCTACTCTCCCTTCACAAAAGGGAAAAAGGAAAAGGGAATGAGAAAGAAAAAAGCAACAGGAAAGGAAATTTTCTGAGCCTGTAGAATATAAACACTATTTACCTAAATGTTGCATGCATTACAGTTTCTTTAATCAAGAAAGGTAAAAATGGGGGAACATTATCCCTGAATGAAGCAGCATGATAAAATGGGTGTACTAAAAATACCAGGATTGACTGAGTTAACTTGTGGTTTTCTGAAAAACAACACGTCTTCTGTTTCAAAATTTACCCTGTAAAAGTTTTCGATGGAATCTTTTCTTTTCTGTAGCGCAGCCCGTACCTTAGTATGAATTATTACTGGAACCCTCTTTGTGAGAGCCAGTTTGGTCTAGGGGTGAAGGCACCAGGCTAGAAAGCAGGAGACGGTGAGTTCGAGTCCCACCTGAGGCATGAAAGCCGGCTGGGTGGCTTTGGGCCTGTCCCTGTCTCTCAGCCCAACCCACCTCACAGGGTTGTTGTGGTGGGGAAAAAAGGAGGAGGAAGGAGGATTATGTATGTTCACCAGCTTGAGTTATTTATAAAAAAATAATAGAGGCGGGATAAAAATCTAAAAAATAAATGAATTATAGAAAGATGCTCAAAAATGCATAATTCCACCCATGCTGGCTGGGGAATTCTGGCAGTTAAGGCCACACAACTTAAAGTGGCCAAGCTTGAGAAACACTGCTATAGCTGATCACACCACTTGAGAAATCAACCGGGCGTTGGGTTTCAGAAGAGAGGCGTGTCCCTCCCGCCAGTCCCCATCTTCTAAACCCACACGTTCAAACTCTGAGCTGTGTGTGTAAAAAGGGTCCCGGAAGTGGCTTGAAATGAACTCCACGTTTGACTCTGCAAAAGGCTGCAAGTAACCACAGAGCCCTCGGCCCTCAGCCCACCTCCTTCCAGAGCAAGAATATTCATCGTTGCCTTTACCCTTTGCTGCTGCGGACCGCTCTGAACCCTGTTCTGGAACGACTCTGAGGCTTTAGAGGGGCTTCCATCATGTGCCCCCTCGCGTCCCTGCCATTGCCTCAACCATTTTACCATGCAGTAAAAGAAAAGAAGAAAAAGAAGCATGATGATTATAAATTAACAGGGGAATGATTGCTTCCAAGGATCCCATTCATGTCCTATCTGGAAGAAACACAATGGGGCACCCAGGGAAGGAAAAAGAGATGCTGTAAAAAGAAGATGCCAGCCAGCTTCGTTCCATCTGTGAACTCCCTTCCCCTCCCATTTCATGTGGCCTTCTAATGCAGGGGTGGGAATCCCTGGTCTGCGTGCCCCCATGTGCCACACTTTTGCAGATCCCAGAACAGTATTGGCTGAAGCCTTTGGATTTGCAAGCAAAATGATGATTTTTCAGCAGCATGACTCTTTTTTTTTTTCATTCTGTTTTGCAACTCAAGGCACAACTGAGGGACATGGGAGTAAGATTTTCTTTCCTCTCCCTCTCCCATCCAACAATGAACCTGCTTAAATGACGTTCCACCGTGGTGGGATCAGTAATGGTGCCAGCATAATCAGAATCTGAAAGGCTTTGCCCATCCAACCTCTTTCTGTTGCTTCCGGAGGGGGTGGGGTGGTCTCTCTAGGGGTTTGTTTCTGTCTTGCAAGGGGAACGTGGCAATCCACTTCCTGGTAAGCTGTTTAGACAATTAGCCTCACCAGGAAGGCATTTAGACCCAACCAGTCTTGGAACTGTTGGGGGTTTAAACTAAGCTCCTCTGGATCTAGTAACAGAGGTTGTGTGAATTTGTCTTTAAAATCAAAACAAAATCCTAGGAGGGGTTCTCTTGATCCCATCCACTCCAGTGACATCACTATGCTCTCCTGCACCAACAGAGGCAGTAAACAGTGAAAACCATACACACTCACACTCACATACTCACAGCTCATTGTTCTTCTAATGCTGTTCCATGTGTGTCCCGTGAGCTTCTGGGGACAAGTTGTCTCAATTTTCTCTCTGGGTTTTTTTTTTTTCCTTTTAGGCTTTCTCAAGGCTGGACACTAAAGCAAAGTGACGGCTGAAACTCCTTTATCTGGGCATCAAGATGCTGTGTTGCAGAATCTTCAGTGTGCTGATGGCATCCTTCAGCGCCATCCTGCTCTTGATGGCGCTCAGCACCGATTACTGGAAAGCATCTTTTTCTGCCGCAGGGACATCCCACAGTGGGCTGTGGCAGTTCTGCATGAACCTCAGACCAGCCAAAAGCCAATGCTTTGTTCTCAAGGAGACTTTTGGTAAGATTTATGGCAGGGAGGCCTTCAAATTGTTCTAAGGCTTCCTGATAGGGAGCATCAGCAAAAGCTTGTGTGTGTGTTTTAAACGTATCCCTTATTTAAAACGTTTTTACTCTGCCTCTCCTCCACAAATAAGCGAAAACATCGCTTTGTGGCAGATCCCAACAGCAACAATCACTCAGTCGCATCTTAAAACACCCACTGATTTCAAAAATAGCAAGGAAGACAATAGCACGGGGCAAAGTCTCAACAAGTGAGACTTCTCCTCAGCTCTCCATCAGACCAAACACCTCTTTGAAGCTCCTCGGCAGAGCAGCCTGACCTCCCTGCACGTCTGCATAGCTTCGTGTCCCTTGCATTGACTGCATTTATGTACTGCCAAATCAGTGGCAGACTCGAGGTGGTTTACAAAGCAATCAGTGCTAAAAACATAGATAAACCAACTTAAAGCCTCCATGGCGAATGTAAGTAAAATAGAATAACCCATTCCTAATCAGCATTAGGAAAATGTGCTAATAATGATGATAAGAAGAGTAATGGGAAAAGACTTCTGGAATGTCCAAAGGGATGGAGCAAGTCTTAATTCTAAGAGAGGCTATTCCATATGGGCCGACCAGTGACTGAAAAACATCACCCTCTGGCTACCATTTGCCTATTTCCCAGAAAGGGGTATAACTCAAGTCTTTTTCTAGGAAGAATGTACTACGGGAGAGGCCAATTCAAGTGGAACAAACCATGTAGGGTTTTATAGACCAAAACCAGCACTTTGAAGTGTATCCAGACATCTACTGGTAACCAAGACGTAATGTGCTCTTAGTGTGTAACACCCACCGGTACCGAGGCCACTACATTTTGTACCCACTGCCGTTTCTGGTCTTCAAAGGCAGGCTCATGTGGAGGAAACTGCAGTACTCTAGTGGCAAAGTGATGAGGCTACAAGCCTCTGCTGATGGCTCCCTTTCTGGAAGGGAGTTCAGAAATTTTCTGAATAATTATTCAGAAATTTTCTGAACTAGTTAGAAAATTTTCTGAGCAAGTAATCTACCGGGGGTGAGGATGCTCTGATATATTGCTGTAATAAGGGTTATAAAGAGATGTGACTTTTTGTATCTATAACTTTGCTTACAGGCTACATCACAGCTACCCGTGTGTTCCTGATTTTGGCTTCCCTGATGGCACTGGCATTACACTTCTTTCTTATTGCCACCTTCAGGCCTTCGATGTGTGGTATCCTGGGCAAGCCCTGGATTGCTTCCGTGGCTGCCTACGTGGCTGGTAGGTGTTACCAAAGGGGCGGTCCGAAACAGAATGCAAGGTACCCTTTCCTGGAAGGATCTGGGTAGGTTCAAAGATGGGGAGAAAAGGCTCCTTTTTCAATGACTATTCAAAAGAGGCTTCAACTGCCTTCCCCAACAATCAGCATTAAGTTGAAGCCTTTGGTAGCAAAGCAGATATCCTGCCCCCCAATACTAACAACTAGAAGCAATTGCTGACCTGTAAAGATGCAACTTTACAGGACAGCAATTGCTTCAAGCGCCGAAGAATTGATGCCTTTGAACTGTGGTGCTGGAGAAGACTCTTAAGAGTCCCTTGAACTACTAGGAGGTCAAACCAGTCAATCTTAAAGGAAATCCACCCTGACTGCTCATTGGAAGGATT